CCTTTCCCCAAGCAAATGCACTGCATATTTATGTTCCTGGTGAGTTTCCCCTTGCTTGAGTTTACTATTGCTTGTGAATTTGATCTTCCATCATTTGCTTCTTGTCTCGTTTGTCTCTTGTGTGTTTTTGCGATGAAGCTGTTACTTTAACTTGTTCCCAGGTGGGGAGTGCCCTACCTTTTAACGTCTAATAAGATTTTTCTGTCATTACTGTAAAAAGAAACAATCATTTTTGTATTTTTTTTTAATCTTTGCTGTTAGGAAGCTGAATGATTAGTTTGCGTTTATAGTATCTTAAAGTCACTTAGTGGTGTTTTATAAGTAATAAGTTCTAAATCAGTGGCCACAAATTTGTTACAGCTCCTATCCTAGCTCACTTATTATGTGTTTCTTGCTTTTTACTGAAAGTAGTAACTTACACACAAGATAGACTATTTCTTGCTAGCATTCATCTACTCTTATTTTCTCCACTTACTCACTGCATTCAAGTTATGACTCCTATACATGGATACGGTTGAATGTATGCTGAAAGGATTTGATGCTATTACCTTGTGATACGGAAGAATGCAGAGTAAGAGCAAACACATCTGTGTGAATTGATCTAGACAATAGATACCTGTGATTAAGCTAACTACCCGCTGGATGTCACTATTGTTCCACGGAAATTCATCTGAGAGAATATTTATCTAGAGTTGCCTGGCTGACCGCAAAGACCATTATCTTGCAGCAAACCGAAAATTTCTAATTGTGTTTGCAGGAATATTGTACATTTATGTTCATCTTGAAACTGCATTTTATATCAAGGTTCACTATTTCATAATAATAATAAAAAAAGCATTGCGAAACCTTAAGCTGTGATGACTGTGTAAGTGCAGATAGTGAGTAACAAAAACCTACCAGCCAGCAGAGAAGCTTGCATTTATTATACTCAAGCCACTTGTTCTCATTATTATTCTCTTACTCTGCAATTGCTGGAGGTAATCTCAACACACTGAATGAACATTACCAGTCTCCTTGAATTTGCTTGGTACATTAGTTATTTTCGTTTCCCAAAGACCTGCTTTCTGTGTGGTTTATTATTCTGAAATACCCCTTGAATATTACAGGAGCTAAGTCATTTATTTGAGAGGCCAAGTGGTCCACTGGCTAGAAGGATGTCCTGGTGTGAGGAGACTGGATTATATTCTCAGTACTCAACCTGTACTTGAGCAAATTACCTCAAATCTGTCATGTTTATTTGCCATCTTCTGTCTTCTCAACATACCATATAAACATTTAATGTGAGAGATTGTTCAAAGATGTTTGTACAGTGTCTAGCAGAGGAAGTCCTGATTTATTTTAAGATTTTTGGGGTGCCACACTAAAGTGGAACAGTTTTGTGTGGTGATTCCAACTATTTGTCTTAACGTTGTTTAAATAAATGTAGACTGCAAAACCAATGAAAATGAAAACGGGCATGGAAGAGTAACTGCACTTTGTCTGTGTCTTTAAAAGCTCTGGTCTTCAAGCAGTAGCACCAGAACAGAAGCTGATTAAAAAACCAAACCAAACCAAACCAAGAAACAACCAAAGCCAACACACACAAAAAAAAATAAAAACCAAACAAACAAAACTCTCACCACAAGCCAAACCCAAACCCCCCCCAAAAACCCCAAACATAAAAAGCCCAACACAACATAGCAAACCCCAGACACCTTCAAAACACATTCTTACTCTTCTAAACTTGGAATATGTAGGCAGCATCAGAGCCGTTAAAGGATAGCCAGGTCAGTGGGATCAGAACTCTACATATCTGCTGCCTAAACTGGGGAGAAGCAAAGGAAAAATTTCTTCTTTGGAATCTTTGAGGCTTTAACAGTTTCTATTCAGGAAAGGGGCAGCCTTTCATAGGGACTGAACATTGCCCAGATAAGACCAGGTTGTTCCCTGCAAGATTATTAGAATTTGTGACTCTGGTGGCCTAGCCACCCAAAACAAGTCACTTCTATAGTGTTTAATGTGAGAACGATGAGACCAAGTTTAGCTATGTTCATGTAGTCTTTGCACAGATGAAAACATGGAGTTTGTAATGTACATTAACATGCTATGAAGCAGGTTTAAAATCTTTTCTGAGCAATAGCCACTAGAGTGGGTTTAAAAAACCCAGCTCGCAGGCCTCAGTCTGTGCAAGAGGATTTGAAGAGTTATATTGGGCATCTTTTTTGTTGTGTAGGCAGTGGTTTCATTATCAATGACTATAGCAGCAATTAGACATTAATCTGTGTTCATTTGTTATGTATTTGGAAATTCATGAAAAGTGAATCTGTAGTTTTTTCAGGCAATAAATGAATTAGTTGTTCTGAGCATGTCTGTGCTTGAATATAGACATGCTGGATTTTCATTGTTATTATCCATCTATGATTAATGACATACTGGCTTTATTTTCTTTTTCATGCTCATAATTAAATATTTTTTCCAAGGGAGCTAGTACTAATTTTACAGGTATTGTTTTCCGTAGGAGGTTATGGATTGGCTCCTTCTGAGTATTGTTATGGTCAGGACAATGCTTAAAGAAACATAGAAGAAAGCATGTAAAGTCAAACTCAGTTATGTACAACTCATTCACAATAACACTCCAGTAACAAGTTTTAAAAGATATATTGAATGTTTTCAAATAGCAAAAATTCTAAATTAATAGTATGAAATCATTTAAATTATTTTCTGATTGCAGTTAGCCCTCCCTAAACTAAATAGCAGATTTTTTCTGTTATTTTTATATATATACACAGACACGTGTGTGTGTGTGTGTGTGTGTGTGTGTGTGTGTGTGTGTACATATGTATATATAATGTATGTGTGTTTTAGGACAAATACGTCTTGTTTTGGCTGTACCTAATATTAGTCACCACTGCAGAGATTAAATCATTTAGAAGTATGGAGATGGTTCTTAACACAAAGTTTACGGCAAAATAATCCTTCAGTACAGAGATAACCAAGACCTGCTGGTAGAAAACGGAATCCCATAATAGGAAAGATAATTTGATGTGTATTGGCTTCTTACACAACTTTCAAGGTGTAACTCATGTTAAAAATCACAGCCTGCTCAGTGCTGGGAAAGCATCTCAGGCATTTGCATTATTCATTGTGTGGGATCTTCTTTGTACTCAGTAAAACAGGGTCTCAGTGTTCCAGGGTTCAGTACAGTCTCAAGCTTCTACTCTTGGCTATTTCTTCACTACAGTCCTTGGAAATGAGAATGTTTTCATTATATGAAGAAAACAAAACAATCCCCCTTAAATGTATTAGTTCTTTTCAAGAGATGTGTTCTAGCTTTGTTTGCAATGGTATCTCACATATTTCAAGGTAATTGGCTGTGATTAGGTTCTTTCCAGTAAAAATTCAGAACATTTTGCTAAGGTTTTGCTTTTTCTAATCTGCTGCAGTGAAGATGCTTTGTAGAAACATTCCCTCCCAAGTGATTGAAGACATGCAGTTTACTAAGCCAAATCAAGTCACAAAATAATTAGATTACTGACTTGCTTCTATATAGGTGCCACTGTATTATTTCAAGAATGAAACATACACACACCCTCCTTAACCCCTTCCTGGTAGTCAGAATAAGAGGTATGATTTATTTGGAAATCTGGGGGATGTTATATTCTTATGCAGCCAACACAAATACATGACTTCAGGAAAGGGAGGGCAGGGAGTAGCTGTGTTATAAGTCTGTATTTTTGAGAATCACTGATGAATGACTGCGCATTAGAGATGAACATCTGTGAATTCTGTAATGATGTTAGGGTTTTGCTAAGAGAGAAAAATAATTTGTCACTGATTTCTTTAAGGATTTTTGGATGCACTCAGCTCAGTGAGTACCCAATTTTCTCTGAAAGCCCTTTGCAGTTGTAGTATTTCTAAAATGTACTGTTTGTCTTTGTAAGTAATGAAGATTTATTTAGTTATTAGAGGGACAGTGTGCAAAACACATGACAAAACCCTGAAAAGCTCAGCCCAGCAAATAAAAAGAAATAAAAGAAAATTACAGATTTAATGGTTTCCTCAGCTACATAAATGTCTTTGACAGTCTTGAAAAGCGAATTTCTAATGAGCACCGAAACAAATGTGTGCAGGAAGTGGTCTTGCTTTTGCTGCTGCACATTTGAGTTCCTCTAATTGCATTAATAAGGAATTTCTACTCATTTAATGAATGCCTTTTTGACTGCTTTCTGAAAGGCAACTGGATGTAGGGGATAAACACTGGCACCTTTTATATGAAGTCACATAAACAGGTTTCAATTACTTGTTATCGGCCCTAAAACACTGCATTATAATGCAGTTATTTTTATTTTAAAATGTTTATTAAGTCTAGGCTTCCCTCTGCTTTGCTTTTGATGTGATACTTCATATCCTAAGACAGTGCTTTAACTCCCCACTGGCTTTTTGTTACAGCTTGTGTTGGGCAGAAATAGGACATTCTTTCAGAGCTGCTCCTGCACCATCTCTTTCCTCAGACAACTCAGTATTCATATGATGCTACAGTACCTGGGTCTTTAGTTTGGTCTTGGTTCAAAAGGTAAGTTTCAGAGCAAAGGCTGGGGTTAGGTGTGTGTGTGTGGGAGGGAGGTGGGAAAGGGGGACAACTGAGCTTGATCACCAATTCCCCCCTTGTTGTAATTTTAATCCCTACATAGAGGCACAGTCGCTGCAGGTGCAGTGGATTACTTACGAAAGAAGTTTTCTATTTAAAAACAAGAGAGACTTTAATGAATTCAGGAGAGGGTTTGTACAATAGGTATTGTATTAAACCAGAGCTCAGGCTTCACATTGATTACGGTATTTAAATTTCAATGAGTTGCTTATGTATGAGAGTAAAATGACCAGTATTATGAATGTACAAAAGAGAGACATGGAAGAGCTGTGCCAGAAAAGTGAGAAAAACGTTCCCTTTATAGTCCCTAGAGTTCAATAAAGCACCACTATTTCCCAGCTTTTAAAAGCTCTTTTATCACAATGGTTCATACCTCACATTCCCTGGAGCCTGATTTGTTATACGTGCAGGGTCCTGTTCCATTCAGCAGCATCTCAGTGGTTTCAGTGTTGGTAGGTTTGTAATCTACATAAAATTCCTGTGTGCTTGGAGTCATTTGCTTCAGTGACTGTCTTGTCTTTTTCCTGTGCCTTCGCATGAGGGAGCGCTGCTGCAGCTGCTTCATACTGGCTGGGTAACGCTTCCATGACACATAGATTACCAGCAGGATCACAAGCACAGACAAGAAAAGGGCTACACTGCCTGCTATGATTTTATGGAAGGAGATATGTTCTGTGTCGTGCGCAGGTTCAGAGCTGGATTCAGTGGCTCCAATAGTGGGGGGCAGAGGGGGCTTGCTGTCATGTTTAGGCCTGGTGAGTTTTGGTTTAAACGTTGGCTTTGGGAGAGCTCGTGCTAGTTCAAACCTTTCTGTAGTACTTTTGCCACAGATGCTGTAGTTTTTCACTGCATCAATAACATTCACCCCTTGCAGCTCTTTGGGGCTGGCACAAATAATTGTATTTTCCCTCAGCCCTTTAAAACTTTTAAGCCAGTTTACCAGGGAGCAAATGTTTCTGCTGCATTCCCATATATTCCCAGAAAGACTGATGTCATTGAGAGATATCCAAGAATCCAAAATTTCTTGTCCAATAAATGTGAGCTTGTTTGAATCCAGGTTGAGGCGCTGTAAATTGGGCACACACTGAAAAACACTAGGTCCACTGAAAGCTTCTATTTCATTGCCAGATAAATCAAGTCTTTGTAATGAGCTCCAGGTCCAGGACATAGTTTGTCCTATCACACTGATTTTATTCCACTGTAAATAAAGGTTTTGAAGGCTGACTAGCCTTGGAAAAAGTGCCAGGTTGAGCTTAGAAAATTGATTGTGCTCCAGATGCAGCTCTTTCAGTCTGATCATGCCTGCAAAGACATTCCTTGCTAAACTTCGGATGCGGTTATAACCCAGGTCCAACAGTTCAAGGTTTCTACAATCTTGAAATATTCGAACAGGGATGGTTCTTAGGGAATTGGACCGCAAATGTAAACTCAGTAGCTTCCTTAAGCCCCTGAACTGTTCAGATCCCAGAGACTGCAGCTGATTGTATGACAGATCCAAATTCCGGAGATTTGACACAGGTCTGAAGGTATTATTAAGAAAATAGGAGATTCTGTTGGAACTCAAGATCAACTCTTTTAGTCTGCGTATTCCACTGAAAGCATTTTCGTCAATATTGCTGATGTGGTTATGGTCTAAATAGAGCCAGGTGAGTTGATTAAGACCTTTAAATTGATTGTATTTTAGTTTTTGGAGGATGTTATATCGAAGGGACAAACCTAAACAACCAGCAGATATACTTGAGGGAATCTCCTGCAATTTCTGAGATTCACAGTATACCATTTTGCCTTCACACCTACAGCCCTTAGGGCATCCTCGTTCAGCAGAAGAAAGCATTGTCAGTAATACAGTAGGGGCTATTACCAGAGCTACAGCTGATCCGCTCAGTAGCCTAATTACATTGAAACCTGGAAATAAAAACAACTTAGAAAAGTTATCCCCCCACACATCAGTCATTTCTTTCAGTCATGCTAAAATCTTTTATTTCAACAATCATTTAAAAATCCCTAGCTCGACTCAACTACTTTTCACACTGTTTTCTTTACTCAGATTTTTTTTAAAGAATACCTTTATAGAAATACTGAAAAACAGCTGGGTAAAAGATGTAATCCCTAATCAATTTAACTGTAATAACAAATCATATCAAGGTAAGTCTATGGAATAGTTAAAGCACAGACTATGCAGTGACTATGAACTATATATTAAAAAAAAATAACATGAAAAACATACCCATCCTTTGTGTTGTTCAAAGGTCGTCCTTAGGTCTTTTGTTTTTTGCTTAGTGTGCCACAAGCATGGCAGCCCCTGTCAGCTGCACTGTAGTGAGTCAGGGCTCGCTGACACCCGGGAAGAAAAATTGGACCCCTTGGGAGATGGACCGATTTTGGAACATTATTCTTTGCCAGCCATGTAGAATACTCCAAGAATAAATCAATCCCAACACAGCATTTGCAGCAAAATGTCAGATTCTTCCTAGGTAATAGGATCTTCATGGATATTACGTTTTTGCATCTTTAGTTAGGAACCTGGCTTTTAAAATATCGTTTTATAGGAAAGCATGTTAAATTCCTCCAAGCACCATTTAGCAATCTGAATTCACACATCTGTATTCCATAGCACAGCAGTTCCCTTACTTAGTACCTGGTCCAGCTAGGAAGCTGCTTTGTAGCATAGAAGGTTGAATAAGCCCGTACAACGAACAAGCTCTGCTCACTTCTGCATACTGTCATTCTGAAAGCTCCGTCCGACTGTTGCTTTGGTTTCGGCGAATGCAGTCTTATGTAAAGCTGCCCCCAGTGGTGAAGAATATTATGGGCATGTGCAGAAATGCCCTCCTTTTATCCTGCAAATGAGTAAGCTCTGCTGGGAAGAGTGACTGTTCACAGTGACTAATAGAAGCAGAATGGGCAGCATTGATGTAAACTAGTGAGGTGTGCTGAAAGATCCAAATCCTCTTAGTCTCTTCTGCTGTTTGTGAAAGCTGTTTTGCATCTTTGAACTTAATAGCTCAGCATGCACTGCCAAGACTTTTGTCTAAAGGGCTAACATGACATTGGTAGGACATAGATAAAAATTTTCACTCATAAGGGTTGTTGGGGATTTTTTTTTCTTTTTTTTCTTACTACATTTGATGTGTCCGCATGACCTTTTTGCAATAACTCACTATTTTTTAGTGAAGTATCAGCCCTCTCAGCGTGTCTCTTATCAAGTGTTTCTGCGGGGACACTATATTTTACAACATGAAAAATGTTTTGGAGCTGACATTTTGCCTTTTTGCTTTTTTCTTCTCTGTTAAAAGGCACAGTGCCAGGAGGTTAGAAGAGAGTATTGTGCTCATTTATTTCCCAACTTGCTGTCACTTTGTTCCACAGCACTAACACTTCAAACGCAGCCTTCTGTAACCCTTACGATATAGGGACTAAGCAGCTTGGTGTAGTACCTTAATCAGGTGAATTGCATTTACTATAATTTATGACGTTTACAGGATTTTATGTGAAGGTAAATATGCAGAGGGTTTTTTTAGGTGTGTGATTCTGGGCAGTCCTTAAACATCACAGAAAGGGCTGCCTTCTCTTTCCTTACTCCTCCCTTCTTTCCTGCATGTAGTAGAGAAAGGACACATCCTCTTGTCTGTGTAGAGCAAAGATAAGATGGCATTACAGCAAATGCACCATGCTGGCAATCCTTCACCAAGAAATATGTGATCAGAGATGATGGTGGGGAAATATAAAATCATGGCTTGTTATTGTGCAGGAATAGTCTAGAGCCTGAAAAGAAGTATGCTGCTCGTTAGAAGAGGAGTACAGATTATAGTCCCTCAAATGCAACCAGACAGCTCTGAGAACTGCTTTTCCATTCTGAGGCATAATCCTTACTCCTTGGAGTAATGTGCTTTGACTTTTTCCCTACTATTCACTGCTGTGAGCATAGAACTTAAAATGAGGTGAAACCTGAAATTTTCCACACATTAAAATGCCAACATTGCTTGGTACTTACTTAGTCTGTGAATGACTTAAGGTTTAGAGTAATCCCACTAGTATTAATGCACCTATCCATAGTGCCTAAATTAGGAGCACTGTCACCCCTGGCTAACAGGTGTAAACATCTTTCATGTGAGTCAGAAATACATACCTGTGTCAAGGCACATCCTGTGAAAATTCTCCCCTTTGGGTCAGCTCTGTGGAGATCAAAAGGGTTAACTCCATTAATCTCTGTCACTGTCACCATCTCTCATTCTCTACTACAGCTTGTTTCTGGCACTTAGATCTATCTGTAGGGTTGAGGAGCCAACAAGGAAATGACTGGGAGCTGCGATAGTCTGGAGAGCTGTTCTGCTGACAGCAGTGTTACATGTCAGTCCTGGTGCACTTGTAGGCTTTGGGGTCTCTCTGTACTGGATGGAGCAAGACTGACAGTTTCAGAAGACAATTCAGACCTTTGGTAAGCCAATTTGCCTCTTAGAACTGCTGCTCTTCCTCTGTTGACAGTAGAGGTACTTGTAAGAAGTAAACTCTTTATTGACATGACTCAATTAGGTTCCTAAACTTAGATGGCATGAAACTAGGTCTGCATCTTCATCTGGTTCAAACACAGCATGTAAAGCTTCAGATAACGTCCAGATTCTTTTTTCTTAAGAGTTGGTGCTACTCAGTATACCAGCTCATTCTGCGCCTTCTGCCCAAACTTTGTCTAGTCTCTGAATTTTCCTCTTTTGTTTTCTCTCCCTCCTCCATCTTCATGTGGAGTTAACAAGTAACTTCTCTACCACGATGAGTCAGCAGAGCTTCAGCAGCTCTTCCAGGGTTTTAATAATTGCCAGTATAATACTGGACAAATAAGAGGGAACAGCCACTCTTTTACCATGAGTTATTTTCATTTTTCTGAAAGGGGTGAGACATCAAGAGATGAACAGAGAGAGCATTAAATTTATGTTAATGGATTGCCAAATTGAATTTTCTTTACCGAGATCCTTTTTGAATTACACAAGCAGAAAAAGTGCCAGTGTCTGATAAACAGGTTTTGAAAATTTCATTTCTGTATCTTCATACAGCTGAATGGATTCTTTTCAAATTGTGGAAATAAAGCTGTGCCCAGTAGGAAATATTCATACGAAATTTCAGGCCAGTCCAGCCATATTATAAACTACGAAAAATAGAAAATTATGTTAAAGCTGCATTTTAGATAACTTTTGTAAGTTGTTTAATCTTTGCCATGTATCAACCCCACCTTATATAGGTGTGCAACCCCATTGCACAGAGGCCAAAGTAGTTAACTTCTCTTATGGATAAGCTAGTTTTCATTAGACGTAAAACTACAATTCCTGAGTGCCTAAAATGCAGGAGTCTGTTGAAGGCTTGGTGTGAATGTAACTGTCTTCCATGTAAGTTTGTATGTATTCTTGCGCACAGTTTATATTTTGGGATTTCAGCCTTAGACATAAATTGAGATGCCACAGAACCTGTGAAGCTTATTAGTTTTGAGTTGTATACTTCCATGATCATTCCAACTTGGTTTGGGGGGATTTCATAGAGAGGGAAAATGGCATAGATCAGAAAATACTTGTAAAAATGTGTACGTGAATATGTCTTAACATTTATGCAGGTGAAAAATGATGTGTTGGGTGGAGCCTGTGATGAATACATTGTTTTCTTTATTAGAATGACAGACAAATAAAACTCAAAGTTGTTTGGAAATGGTGTACTATCCCAAGGTAGTGATGGACTAGATTTTCCTCTTGTTACTAAACTTTCAATAGGTTTTCTGCCTGGAAATTGTTCTAGATGGATTTCACAATTACCTGATTTTGTAGTAATTTGCTTTTAGTTTCATGATTGATTTTAGTTTTGCTTATATAGTTAAATTCTAATATATTTTCTTTTTCCATTAATTGTGGCTGTGGTGTCTGTACTTAAATGCAACTTCCCTGTGGAAAGCTTAACATGAACTGCAGCTGGAATAGTAGAAAGTGAATCAGAAGATGACATACACAGTGAAAGCTCTGTTCCTCCACAGAGCTAGTTTGGAATTTAAACATTTTGAAGAAGAAAGGGGAAACAGCAAATCTTGCAGTTTTCAGGGTTATGAGAAAGCACCTCTAATGACCAGGTACATCTGATTGCTAAGTACATTTGAAAAAGGGGAGTGACAGAATGATCAGGCTCCAGTAGAATGGGGATGAAGGGTGCAGGGAAGAGTTATAAACTTCCCAAAGCCTAGGGAACCAGCAGTTATGAGACGCTGGTGAGATTCACATAAATCAGCATTCAAAGCCCTCCCTTGTTCTGTCACTTGCTTCTCATCAGCCTTCCTCGGGACATTTCATGCTTACTCTTTACAATGCAGTGCTTGTTCAATCATATTGTTACCAAAAAAAAAAAAAAAAAAAAATCCATTTCTGTTACTCCCATAAGAAATCCATTCAGAAAAGCAGTATGATCTTTTCTAGCCACACTGCGCTATGTTCTTAGCGTACAAACTTCAGAATTTTGACTTCTGGATACATCATTTTTCTGTTCACAGGTAGAGCTCCTGGGTCTAGAAGTGCCTTTATGTGTGTAATTGCATGATCCTTTGGAGAACCATAGTTAACGAGTGCTGCACTGTATTCTTTTTGGTTTATGAAGTGGCAACATATGCCTTTCCCTTGGCTTTATTTCACTATAAAGAAACTAGGAGTCAGCTGGGTTAGCAATAGTAGTTTGTTCTAAATGGTACTGTAGCATGCTACTGTATCATTAAGAGTAGATAAGTCTAATAAAATGTGTTTGCAATTTTTGAGCCAGTGATTAAATGAACCTGCTGTTCCATGAGGATCAGATTAGAGCTGGGGGAGTATAAGTCCCAGTGTAAATATCAGAGCGTGGGAAGACAGAGAGGAAACTCAGGATGCAGGGTTTGCTAAAGGCAGATATAAGTGGTGGGAAGTGTGGGAAAGCCAGGTTCAAGGAACATGCAGGCAAGGGAAATTGAGGCAACAGAAAATGCTCTGAAGAAACAGGGAAAGAGGACTAAGAACAGGGAGGGTCTTATCTGTACTGACCTAAAGGGCCATGATGATAAAGTGGTAGATGGATAAATGAAAATATACCCTTGCTCTCCTGCTAGGAGCAGTTAGCTTTGCAAGGCTTCCCCTGGCCTCTAAAAGGATCCCACATTATGAATTCTGTGATAAGGTGAAGGAACATTTGAAGCTGAATAGGAGCCGTGCCCCCTTTTTTGGAGTCAATAAACTCCTTAACATCCGACTGCTTGTAGACGACATCAGGGACACATCTGTCAGTTTCTGTGTACCAGGAGGATTTCCTCAGTGCTGTGCTTCTTCACAGGGCAACACAGGCTATCGCTTTCCTCATGCACAGTTATACAGTGTTGAATAAAGAAGCTTTTCCAGCTGTACGGTTTTGTTTAAATCTGTACATTGTGGTTGGGTCACAGGGGTCTTTAAGCTGTCCCAGGGTAGATAATATTGCATATAAGCCTACAACCTTTGTTCACGGCATCCAGTGACTACATCTTTTGGATCCTATCATAACTCCTGTATGCTTAATGAGGCATCGGGCACTCAGCTGTTCCCTGATTGACTTTTTGTCCTATGGTTTTGAAGCTGTTTGAAGGCAAGCAGCCTGTGCTTCTCTCTCACCCTCTGGAGACATGACTGCATGGGATGTAAAGCTGTTATTTTACTTACTCTCTGAAACTGATAGGTGCCACTTATGTTTCAAGGGATTTAGTGTTGATTCATTCGGGCTTGTCCTCCAGCATCTTCGTGAAAGGTGAGT